TGAGTCGCTATTGCCTTACCTATTTTTTTGTTTAGTATAATTTATTTATACCTAATTTCACTGCAAATTTTGTCCTATACTCGGCACTCAGGGCCATTGAATAGGGAGGAATCTTTTTCGTTACTACAAGTAGCGGTCTTAAAATATGACCGGGGAGTGAGATGTTTGGCCTGTTGATGAGATGTTGGACGCTAACGTCACACTATGGCGCGGTCAGCTAAATCTTAATTGCATTTGTTGCTGTTTGACATACGTGTATGACAGAAGAGATAAAATGAATAAATAAAGGGTATAACAATACATTATCAAAGTTTATGTCGAAACATTTAGTATAATGTTTCAATTTTTTTGTGGAAGCATTCAGTATGATGTTTCAAAGTTAATGTCGAGACTTTCAGTTTAATGTGTCAAGTTTGTTTAGGAAACATTCAATATAATGTTTCAAGTTTTTTGTGGAAACATTCAATATAATGTTTCAAAGTTTTGTGGAAGCATTCAGTATAATGTTTCATAGTGTTTGTGGAAACATTCATTATATTGTTTCATAGTTTTTTGTGGAAATATTCAGTATCAAATTTCATAATCATGTATTAGTGTTTGTGGTAACATTCAGTATAATGTTTTTAAGTCTATGTCGAAATATTCGGTAAAATGTTCAAAGTTTGTTTGGAAACATTCAGCATAATGTTTCAAATTTGTTATGGAAACATTCAGTATAATGTTTCAAAGGTTTTGTGGAAACATTCAGTATGATGTTTCATTGTCATGTATTAGTGATTGTGGAAACATTCAGTATAGTGTTTCATAGTCATGTATTAGTGATTGTGGAAACATTCAGTATAATGTTTCAAAGTTTATGTCAAAACATTTGGTATAATGTTTTAAGTTTGTTTTGGAAACATTTAGTATAATGTTTCAAAGGTTATGGAAACATTCAGTATAACATTTCAAAAGTTTTTTGGAAACATTCAGTATAATGTTTCAAGTTTTTTTTTTTTTTTTGTGAAAAAGGTTCAGTATAACGTTTCAAGGGTTTTTCGGAAACATTCTGTATAAATGTTTCAAGTTTTTTGTGGAAAAAGTTCAGTATAATGTTTCATAGTGTTTGTGGAAACATTCAATATAATGTTTTAAAGTTTTTGAAGAAACATTCTGTCTTTACTATTTTATACCTTTGTAGAAACATTCTGAACAATGGTTTACTTGTTTAAAGATAAAAAAAAAATGAAAATCATATCAGTAGAAACATTCTGTTTCATATTTCAATTTGAAGAGGAAAGAACTTTCAGTATTATGAGAAACTTAAAATAGATATTTAATAATTTGTTTCATGCAGTACATGTAGCATGTCATCAAGACTGTTCTGAGAGTCTCAATGTAAAATTGTTTCTCATTTTATTTGGGTTCCAGTATCTACATATTCCTAGGCTTTAGTAGTGCATTACATTCATACACTATTTACCATGGTATTCTGTTACTAGCAGTACATCGATGCCAAGGGCCAAACTGAACTATAAAGTGATCAACACCTAACTTCATGCAGTACCATCTAAGGCACAAAATGGAGAGGCAATGGATCTACAAATTTCAGATGGCGGAAATTGTGCATTATTGGAATGACAATTGCGAAATTGTTGAAACAGTGCTCTCAAATCGAACCTCTAATGCGGATATATGATCAAGCGATCAACAAGATCATTCAAGAATTTAGGTGCTCTGGACATGGTGCCAGCTGTCTTCATAGTAAACTATTGGAAAATGATGCCACCAAAGTTTGAAATCCACACCACCAGGAAGGACAAGCTACACCTCAATATGCTCAAGCCCCTCCTATGGATTCTATGTGGATATCTGTGTTGAACGGCAAATATCATTTTCTCCAACAGGTACTGCCAAGGAACATCATATAGAGTAGTCAGCATCTGTCATTTATCTACTGTATAAAGTAAGATGAGGCAATGCATTAGCTTCTTATGTAACATTAATTTTTCTATCATTAATGTTGTAAATCTGGTCATGAGGCCAGCAAATGGTTTATCATATATTGCACAATGTACATCCTCTATTGTCATCAACTCTGTATAATTCAGCTCAATTTTTATGAGGTCAGCACTTAGTTGCTTTTGTAAAATGTATTTTAGTTACTGAGCTTAGTGTTGATGTACTTGTAATGTCTCCATAATCTGCTTACTAATGTCAATGAGTTCAGCATTGAAACCGGCCTGCATAGTCTTTGAGCTACATGTAAGATGATGGCTACTCATTTAATTGTATGTTTAAATCTGCCAGCATAGACTCGAATTAAGATACATAGTTCAGCGGATAGCTGCTCATGTAAATTGTATGTTAAAATCTGCTTGCATAGTCTTGAGTTAAGATACATATTTGATAGCTGTTCATGTAAATTGTATGCTAAAATCTGCTTGCATGGTCTTGAGTTAAGATACATAGTTCAGTGGATAGCTGCTCAAGTAAATTGTTTGTCAAAATCTGCTTGCATAGTCTTGAGTTAAGATACATGAGTTCAGCGGATAGCTGCTCATGTAAATTGTATGATGAAATCTGGCTTGCATAGTCTTGAGTTAAGATACATGAGTTCAGCGAATTGCTGCTCATGTAAACTGTGTATAAAAATCTGCATGCATAGTCTTAGGTTAAGATACATGAGTTCAGCGGATAGCTGCTCATGTAAACTGTATGTTAAAAATTCTGCCTGTATTGTCTTGAAGTTAGATTAAGACCTTCATAATTGGCTTCCCTTGATCCACAATTGAACAGCCAAAGACAATTCAAAAATTTGGTTTGAGGGGTCGACAAATGAATTTAGCCCGAGAGAACGGTCAATAACAATTCAAAAATTTGGTTTGAGGGGTCGACAAATGAATTTAGCCCGAGAGAACGGTCAATAAACAATATTATCACAGATAATTCAATTTGTGCCGCTATGAGAAATATATTATATTTTACACCTTAGGATAATTCCGCATATCCCTGCGCAGTCTGCAGGATATGCGCCTTTATCGCAGCACAATTATCATATAACCTTCCATTGCGAAAGCGCAAGCGTTGCTTTTCTTGACAGAGTAACCCAATCAAAATACTTGATTTTTTTGCGCCATTTTTGTTAGCCTGGTAGTGCCTTGAAAAAAAAAACCCACCACCCACCCTTTTTGGGGGTTTTTTGGTTTTATATTATTTTATAACTTGTCATACGTTTCTTGGATTGGCGCAATTGTTTGGACGCCTCCAAGGATTTACTCATTTATGTTATATTTTATGCATATTTACATGTACTCTGATATATTCACTGCATGTAAATTTCTAGTCAGTCTCAGGGGGATCACACTTGTACCTTTCACCTATGTACATGTAACCTGTATTGTTTAATATTAGGTGATCCCCCTTAATGATTTGTTTTAGATTTTACTTTATGTCATTGAATTAAATGACATAATCTACTTAAGGGGGATCACCTAATATTAAACAATACAGGTTACATGTACATAGGTGAAAGGTACAAGTGTGATCCCCCTGAGACTGACTAGAAATTTACATGCAGTGAACATATCAGAGTACATGTAAATATGCATAAAATATAACATAAATGAGTAAATCCTTGGAGGCGTCCAAACAATTGCGCCAATCCAAGAAACGTATGACAAGTTATAAAATAATATAAAACCAAAACCCCCCAAAAAAGGGTGGGTGGTGGGGTTTTTTTTTCAAGGCACTACCAGGCTAACAAAAATGGCGCAAAAAAATCAAGGATTTTGATTGGGTTACTCTGTCAAGAAAAGCAACGCTTGCGCTTTCGCAATGAAAGGTTATATGATAATTGCGCTGCGATAAAGGCGCATATCCTGCAGACTGCGCAGGGATATGCGGAATTATCCTAAGGTGTAAAATATAATATATTTCTCATAGCGGCACAAATTGAATTATCTGTGATAATATTGTTTATTGACCGTTCTCTCGGGCTAAATTCATTTGTCGACCCCTCAAACCAAATTTTTGAATTGTCTTTGGCCTAACGGCCTCAGGCAAACACTTCGGATCTTGGGTCCGACGAAACGCATGCTGCCCTCAAAACTAGTCAATAAATGTATTTTTGTGGATACTTCTAGATATTCCTGATGCTCTTTTAGTTTCGCGAAGAAATCTAGAAAAGTAATGCCATCTCGAGCAGGATCTTTATTTTACACAAGGCGACACTGATATATAGTTTAAGGACTTTATTGTATCTAGATGTACAATATGTCGAGAGAATCTTTACTTTCCTTGTGCACTTACTCCTTACTAATATTGATTATACTGTTACCATACAGAAATTCAAAATTACCCAAAGTCCGGCAAATACATGCATAATAATAAGAATTTACCAGAGATCTTGTCTTTTGTGCTTGCTTTTAGAAGCACCTTATAAGGTTAATAGTATGCACATTAATTATCTTTTGAATTAATTTTTTTGGCAACAACACTTTGTAAGCTTGACGTTCATCAGCCCTATGGGATTCTGACACCACTAATTAGAATTACTGTGTATTTATAATTACTTAATATGATAATATGAGAATATTCACACATTCGTATTTTATTACTTATCTGATAAGAACATTATCGTTTGTGATCCCTGAAGTCTTGAATTTGCAAAAACGATTCCTTTTTGTGAACTTTTTATCAACAAGGATTGCAGCTTTATTGATGTTATTATCACTTCAAACAATGTGTAAATTTTTATACATATATGTGCACTACTTTCGTTTAAAATGGTTTATTGAGAAAAAATACTATATAAATACTTCATGTGTCCATAGTTATAAAGCAAAACGAAAAGGTATGACGCTGCAAAATCTGATCTTCATTGAAAAGCATTTTACATAATCAGGATTATATTTACCAATGTAACGATAACAAATAATTCTGAAATTTACATGATGGTTTTATAACAATCAATTGACTTAATTAATGAAGACAATCTTCTCCCATGAAAGCGTTGTTACTATGCAATGGCTTTTTGGCAGTTAAGGTAGGTTTCAAATCCTTTTCTGTCTGTCAGACATTTGTAAGCGATATCAGAGCCAAACATTTCTCCACAAGCTTCGCAAGTTTCCATGAACACATGAATCGATGTTCCAGGTGGTACATTTCTGAAGAAAAAAAATTAATTTCTTATTTATTTGTTGTTTACTAAATTTCATATTTGATGTTGTTTTCTAAAGAATTCAGAACATGAAGAAATCATCCATCTGTAAAATAAATTTACAAAATTAAAAATTCCCGATTGACCCTCTCATTAGCTTTTCAACATGATTTTATGAGCCAGGTATCTACGTAGGGATATTAATGCTATGTATTATTTTATCTGTTAGTCTTGTTTCAAACAGATATATATTTTAGTTAGATTTAATATCTTTTTTTCAACCACGCCTTGAAATAAAGTAAATTTAATTGCATATGAAGGTATCTACATAATCAACACACAGGGAAATCACAAAAAATAGTGTAGCATAAAGAAACTCTAAGAGAAATAATTCATTTTCCTCGGTTAGCAGAAACCAAAATCCCACATGTTACTTCATATTTGTTGCTCAAAAATAATAAGCTTAACAAATGTATCCAATGAAATTGAAAGTCATGTCAGGATATTTTTTTCAGTTCACACATTGTCATACAAGTGTGAATGTGAATACTAATATTGACGTAATCTTTGGCGCTCCTTGTCAGTTTTAATTTAAATTTTTATAAATTAAAATTCCTCACCTTCTGACCAAAGTACTTAGTAACGGGTACTGTTGATATGATGACTGTATAGTATTCAATAGTACTACAAGCAGAATGGCCATTTTGATTCCTCTTACTGACATGCTGTTGCTGGATGTGTCAGAGCGTCTAAAATATGAAAGAAATAGCATTGCTAAATTTCTTATGGTTTATGGTTTCTTATGATTTCATGCCATTTTAATGATGATTTAAAGACAATGTAGAGATTGAACATTTTTAAGATATGTGTTTCATAGATTCTTTTTTTACATATATTCCCCAGTCTCTGATTCAGCAGTTCAACTTTGCATAAAAAAGAAATTTATAATCAACGTTTTTGGATGGAGGGGTGGGCTCACATTTTAATTCTTCAGAATTCCCAAGTTTTTCAATACATGAACTCCCAAAGGAAACTTTTTTCAATAGGAAAAATAAGCACAGAATATTTACTTTATAATGATGCTTGAAATTGGAACATGGTCGGTTAATTGGTATATGAACTGGGATTTTTAAAGATAAGATTAGCTATGCTTTTACCCTTATTTTACTTTTTTCAAATAATAGTATAGACTGTTCTGTACAAACAATTACGGCCAAAAGATTTGCATCTGAATATTATACTTCTCGATCATTTACTTTAAAAGAAGTACTTGTTTTCTAATTACTTCTCGCTGGCAGGCATTTGTGGCATCTTGGTGCTGAGCATACGGAATTTATTTCACATTGAATTCCTTAAGAACATGATTATTAGATCTTGACGAAAATGCTGGTTTAGAAGTACTTTCAATCATATCTAAGTGAACATATTTTCTTATTAATGAGTTTATAACAAGGATTTTGTCGCCTGCGTGGCATAGTGGTAGGAGCATCTGCTATAGAGTCGCGGATTATGGAGTTCGCGGGTTCGAATCCCATCATGGGACGTGGAGACCGGTTCTTCGGATGAGATCGTATAAACTGGGGCTCCACATTGCAGTAGGTGCTTACACGAAAAAGATCCCTCACTGCTCAATGGCCCTGACTGTCGATTTTAGGGTAAATTTTTGCAGCTTTCTCTCTGCAAATGATGGCGTCTCCGAATGAGTGAAAAATTCGAGAGGGACGTAAAAACCACATACCCGGTAGAAACAAACAAGCAAGCAAAGTTTAGGCTTAATTGTTTGTTGGAATTTTTTTTCGAATATCGTATGTCCTTTTAATATACGAGGGCTGTTCAATAAATAATGTTTTGGGTGCTCGGAAAAAAGCAAAAGACGCTTTTCAATGATTTAGTCTTCATGATTTAACTTATTAATCTCTTTTAACTAAAACAGAAGTCCGTAACATTTTTATCCAATTTCTGATTGTTTTTAGAACTCATTCTTGGGTATGACCCTTAGTATACTGGAAAATGGCAGATCCAATGATTTTCTGGACTTGTTTCTTTCTTCTGAACGGTGTTTTTTCAAGTTTGGAAATAGAAACAAATCAAAAGGTCAATGATCTGTCAAATATTGTTAATGTGAAAAATTATGAATTTTCTGTTTATCCCGAAAATTCCTTTACTCTGGTTTGCTGGTTCGGACGCTGTCATGAGGAAATTTGATGTGGTGAATTCCTGATTCTGGGTCCTTCCTCTAATAAATCTTTCGATTTTTTTTGCAAAAAAATTGCTTTCTAGCCTCCTTCATAAATTAAACTGTCTCCCCGAATGCGAATTTGAACAACAATACCACTAATTTTTAAGAAAATTGCATATAAATCTGTCTTTGTGCTCTCGCAATTCTTTGCCCTTGTCGGACCTTCGCTGTTTTTATTAAGTACATCTTGTTTTGTTTTGAGGGTTTTAAGCAATAGATTCAAGTTTCATTAACTGTTTGAATACCAAACAAACGTGGATAACTTCAATTACTGATATTTTAAAATAATTGTTAAGACATTCATACACGCTGTCGTTTTCACTCTTTTTTCAAAATATAGGGTGACCTTTGAGTACTAAGCTTTTTTACCGTCAAAAGCTTAGTACTTAAAAACAGTGTAAACTACTCCCTAAATGATGTCTATCAAATTTGCTATATGTCTTAGAGTTAATCATACATCAACAAATATTATTTATTGAAATATGGCAAACAGTACATAAGTTGTTATAATTTTTGTTGGCAAGGACGGTACCCATTTTTGATGCCCATTAAATAATTTTTTATCATTGAAATCGACCTGCTCATTTGTCTATAAAACAGGCAGTAGTTGCTGTGAATGTCACACATTTCAGTGAATATTTCTTTGGGATTTTTAACAGTTTTACAGCAGCTTTAATGAAACTTTTATTTTCACTTTGGTTTACTAATTCTTTACCATTCATTTATAATGCAGTGTCTCGAATAGCCCTTGTTTTCCAGCTTCTCATAATGAAACTATGTAAGGAAAAGTGGTCACATAGACTGTTATAAATTCATTAAAGATTAAATAATGAGAGAAAGTGAAGCTTAATGTCATATGATATCTGTATTGTATGTCATACAGTTCAGGACATTATTCATTGAACAGCCCTCGTATACACGCATATATAAGTTTGAATTTATAAAGCACTGACTATTTCAACATTAAATGATTAATTTTTTGAAATTACATGTACTGAAAGGTTACCAGTTAACCCGTGATTGAAAAGAACAGTCATAGCATACCCCAGTAGACAATTCAAACAAAGTTAGACAAATATAAGCGTCATTACCCAAAGATCATTAAATGAGACAGACATAATTCAAAAATTGATGGATCGATCGTATGTTGGTTTATGTCCCATACAAGAATTTTTCACTCGTATAAAATAAAATTGCATACAAACTCTTATCTTCTTTTAATTCTTTTTTTTTTTATCAAGACTTTTTTTTCTCATTTCAAAGTTTTACATTGTCTTTAATCGTTTTTTTGTTGTTTGATAAACCTAAACACAATGTTCATATATTATTTTTTTATTATTTTGATACTGTGCATCAAACAATTGTTTCTCAAATAATTTATTAGATTTCAAAACTTCTTTAGGTATGATAAGATGTTACACAATGAATAAGAGTTATTGTTGTGTATTGATGAGCGGATTTCTTCTAATGACAAAAGAAAAAAAATTAGAAGTATTGTGCATTTGAATAAAAGTTTAATAATGTTTTTAATACAAAATAAGGGGAAAAAAATCTTATTGTTAAATACCTAAATTTTCATTTTGACCAAAGTTTGTTGTAACTTTTGAAATTAAATGAGATATTGATACTATCATTAAAGCACCCTATTTATTAGTATACTTTCTTACTTTCAATTCATTATCTTCATATTTTCTTTATTTTATTGATTCATTGAGACAAATATTTCTTAGAATATTATATCGATACTGATCACCAGTGTAAAAATGTTATATTTTGAATGCTTACCTGAGAATTCTTTAGAACTGAATGACAGATCCCTTGTGAAATCTACAATTTATATAAAAAAAAACATACCTTGGTCGAACTTCTTTTGGCACCTTCAACGTCACGTTCAGCAACTGAAGAAAGATAAATCGATGTCAGTATCCAATGAAACAACTATATCAAATAAATCTCTGAATGTGTTACAATTTTTTTTTTCTTTTTTAAAGTTTTATTCAATAAATCGCTTTGCTATTTCCTTTATGTTGCATCTTCAATAAGAAGAAAATGGACCTGATGTGCACAGCTCTATGATTTCCCATGGTTCATTCAATAGATATTAAAGAGATAGTCTCATACATTGTTATTCTAATTTTGCAATGGAAACACGAAACGATACACATGAATAAATTTCTATTTCACTTCTAAGATTTATTTAGTTCGGACCCAATTTTGTCTTTGTTGTTGATATATTGAACAGTAATTATTATGTTTCCTAGACCATCTAATTTAACATGTATGTTTCTTTCTATAGAAACACGGACTGAGTGTTCATACGTGTTGATTTCCAAGAATATATGTAAAATTAATGTATTTTTGAAATTATAATGTATTTGCATAATGAAAGTTTTTATCTTTCGGTAACTTTTTGAAAGAGCATGTGAAAGTTAAATTTCGTTTTAAGGCAGTCTATTGACAAATACATGTATATGATGTTACAAAGGTATCAACAATCTCATTTGATATACATGTATTCGGAAGTCGTTAGAAATTCATCTGCCTTCTTTGCTAATAAAACTCGTTATGTCAAGTGTTGATTTAGTTCTTGGGAATAAATTACTTGGGCATTTATTGCTTAATATAGACTTTTTACCCGATGAAGTCAATGGGATCGTGAAACTAACGCCACCTCTTTCCTCTGGTCTGTGTTTGTTCTGCTTTCAATTTCAAATGTAAAATACTATTTTGATTACTAATTTTAATCCTCAGCTTTTATTTTAGAAAAGAAGTATTCTGTACAAAAGTCCTATAATAAGACCTTGTTAGTATTCTAAGTTCAACTAATTAAACTTTATTTAATGACGACGAAATTCTTAGTGAACAAAATTTGACTAAATTTTTACTGGGATTTAAAATATACGACATACAACATGCACTTATTATATAATCGACTGCAATAAAAATGGCGGTTACCCAAATCAATCAACAACTTTATTATCTGTATAAACGATATCCATCTTACCCCCGGATAACTAATAGAATAACTATGTCACCTCTTGGGTTTCTCTTTGTTAAATTCATCTGTAGATTTATGTGAGCGGAGAGCTAATGATCATTATAAAATAAAGATTTTGTCAACAATTGTAATTATAAATCATGGTATTCGAATTCCTTAAATCGCATTAACAAACAAGTAAATGTTTACAAATGGTTGGATCCGAGGATCAAACATTAACAGGTCGATAGCAATCTTTTTGTTTAAGGTATCGACAAGATGTATTTTACGAACAAAAATATCGCATGTTTTCATGCAATATACATTTGTTATACATTCGAAATTATCTCCGACGACAAATATATATATACCGGTATAATATAGATTGCTTTTTTCCAACAACAAGTTCGTTGATCTCTGATCTAAAGACGTTGAAATTCAATTTTGATCGAAATTAATAAATGAAAATATCCTTTGCAAATTTTCCCTC